AAGCAACGATGAAATAAGTGCCATTGCACATGAAATAATAAGCAAAAAATTGTTGAAAATGACATTAACTGCTAAGGACACTGAAAAAATAACACTTCTCTAAGGAACACAATAGAAGACCCTCCTAAAATGTGTGAATGATAGGACAGAATAGAAGACCCCGGGTCTTCTAATCTGTCCAGGGCTTTATACTTCAAGATAGAGAGTTCGGGTTTGTTTTATTTTAAACTAGACACCTAACTACATGGACTGACCGGCGCCGATTTTTCGCTTAAGCCTTTATTAGTTTTCCAGGCAGTCAATAATCTCCAAAATCCGAAAAATCCTCGGTTTGACAAAAAACCAAGACTTAATTCAAAAATCAACGCCGGCCCGTCGATGTTTCTTTTCCTCTTTTAAACAAAAAAAAGAATGAACTCTCTACGACAAACCGCTATCAAAAATCTTGGGACGCACTTCAGGTGTAACTCTTATATAGAGAAAACGCCGTAGGAAATACTCGATCTTAGGACTTCTAGGAAAATGCCTGTAACTTCTTGATGCAAGGCCATACAGAATTGTGCGAAGTCCTATCTTGATCAGAAACGTTTGCTCTACAAATCTGTGTGTTCAGAAGAATTTTAATTACATGAGTATCCAGGAAAAACCTATTATTTGAAGACACGGTTTTCCAAGGCTCTTAGAAAATTTGGTCAGAATCCCCGAAAAACCAGTTTTGTAACCAAAAGCAATACAGATTCTGGAAATAGACACTTCAGGCTATCTTTCTATTTGCGTATCTCAAAACCGATCTTTCTGACCGAAAATCATCATTTCTGAGGGGAGCCCTTAAGAGTCAATAACTTAATTGGAATAATTTTTTTGAAATAAACAGTAGCTACGATTAAGTTTAAAGCCGCACTTGATCAGAAAACGATCCCTCATCTTTTTGCCTTATTTTGACTAGATTTTTGTTGAAAAGACAGTTGCACACATTGCACAGTTGTTTTTACGGAAAATAAGCTTAAAAACACGTTTATTACTTTGAGATTCCATCAGAGGACGTCGTTGTTAGAAAAAATATTATTTGTGAAAAATTCAGCATAGATTTCACACAAATCTTGATGTGGACAGATAGCCGGTGATAAACTGAATAAAATAGTCTATGAACAATCCTTACACATCATTTCAATAGGCAGAAATTATTTTTACAGGAGGCAAATTGATCTAAAAGACGGTGTCAGAGATGTTTTAAGTATCTTTTTCTTGATATGCAAACAAGGATCCAGCTTGTATCTGGTATAGAAAAATAGCCGTTGATCTACTCTACAATATTCTATATAAAGAACCTCTAACCATCATTGGCTGAGCCCAATTTGTTCTTTCGAAAAAAATCAAAGTTGTCTAAAAATTCCAAGAGAAAGGTTGTTCAATGTAGTTATTAACGGTGATTCCAAATATGATGTTGGCTCTGAGAAAAAATTGATATTTGACGGTGAAAATTGCAAAATATGAGTACATTTTCTTGATTTTTCTCGTATTTGAATTATAATGGACTGAGCCAACGATATATAGAGTTTGTTTACTCAGAATATTGTAGAGCTTTTCAAGAGCTATTTTTCTATGCTAAAGACTAGTTGGTTCTTCTCTTGCTTATGGCAGAAAATGGAAAAATACGATCACTCAAGCAACGTATTTTGAACTTATTTTCCATAAGAACAATTGGGCAATGTGTGCAAATATCTTTTCGGCAAAAGTCCAGCCAAACTAAGGCAAAAAATTAGGAGCCGTTTTGTAATCAAGTGCGCCTCCCTCCTTTATTTAATTGAACGTCTGACGTTTGACTCTTCTTAGAGTCCTAAATAATATACTTAATTATTGAAAATTTAAATTTAATTTTACTAAATTTAAATTTAATTTTTAAAAATTAAATTTAAATTTAGTAAAATATTACAAAAAGAAGGGAGAAGTCTAATATTGTATGTGTTACTGATAACAGTCAGTCAGTAGTTTTGCCATCGATCAGTCTACTCTGTTCTCTTTTCTCTCCAACTGTGTCAATCAATACCTTCGTCTTTCTATAAGACAGATTGGCACGATCGTTTTTTTCCCTTCCTTTCTATAATGCGTATGTATACTGACGGTACTTTGTTGATCTTAAAAAGAAGCTCTACATGGATTATTTCGATTTTTCTCCTAGAGTATTTTTGCTTGAGTGGGTTGTGCCTATAATAATAAACTCAACCATTTAATGTAAATTATTTGCGACATGATGAATACTGGCCGGAAGTTTTTCATCAAGAGATTCGACTTAATTTGACGAAAGCAGATTTCTGACTAGAAGGAAGGGTAGAATCCAAATGTAATTTAACTCCGAAATAATTTTTTCAACTCTAAAATATGAACGGAACTGTATTTAGTGCACAAAATAGATAGCATCTACCCTGGCAAATCTTTTTGAAATTTCGTATAAGAATCGGATAAGATTCTTACCAGATTCTTACATAAGAAGGGACACGAAAGTTGCACGAATTTCGTAAGAATCAGATAAGAATCGAGTTCGACTCTTATACGAATTTCATAAGAAAGTGATAAGAATGCTTTATTAGATTCTTACAAGAATTATTCTCTAGTCATTTCGTTCCAGTAGATGTCATAGAAATAACTTCTTCATAGCTTTTCGTTAACCAACGAATTTTAACAACGCTGTCGCATTTCTGGAATCCATTACCATAAACTGTACTGACTATATTTCATCGTGATACACACCATTTCCATACTCAAAATACTATGTATCACTTATAACAAGTCAAATTTGACAAAGATGTTGTGGCAGAATAGAAAGACGTGATATTTATCTAAGCGTATCCGAGTATCTCAATGGAGCAGAACTCATGGATTATCACGAACAAATCGCCAGGTTCGAAACCTGAACGGACCGGCTTTTTTAAAAAACCTGTTTTTCTTCATTATTGTTTAAAACTTAAGAAAATTGCTGAGGGAACCATCGCGAGTGGTTAGAAAATTTTTTGCGATAAGAATTTCATTAGAGCTCAATAAGAAAGTTTAAACTAAACTAAACTAAACTAACTAATAAGAACTCTTATCATTTTCTTATGAAATTCTGACAAGATTCTTCTCTGATTCTTGCGAAATTCGTGCAACTTTCGTGGCACTTATGTAAGAATTCGGTAAGGATTGGATAAGATTTTTAGCAAAAGGAAATAAGAAGCGAGCAAGATTCACCAGATCCCTGTCCAATTCTTATATAAGAACTGATGTTTATGGTGTATATAGTATGCACCAGTTCCAATCTTAGGCTTGAAGGATCGGTACCAAGCCGCGATTGGTACCAGTTAGGCTTAGTACCAGTCGAACTGGTCGACTAGTTAGGCGTGGGTTTCAAAAAATATACGAAATGCGAGACTTAGTTTTGTATAGCTACGTGACATACAAAATCTTTGCGTGCAAATACAGCAGCCAACAAAAAAAAACACTCAACCGTCTTTTAAGACCCAAAAGTGGCATAAAAGTTCAACGTTTAGACAATTGTTTAATTTAGCAGAGTTTCGAAATCAACAAAGGGAAATTAGTAGTAGATGCGATACCGCAAAATCAGGCGGTAAAATGATGAGTCATCGGGTTAACGACACCAACTATAAGGCAAGAAATTATTCATAGGCGATGGTGGAAGTGAAGCTGATCTATCAATTAAATAATTTTAAAGCTACAGCTAGTGGACTAAAATAAACTTCTTCAACAGAAAAATAAGAACAAACTTTTAAGAGAGTGACCTTCTTCAAGTAAAAAAGAAACACCAAAAAAATTACTGTAAGCGCATGGTGCAATGACCGTTCCACCTTAGGTTGTACAGTGAAGCTTTCGCCTACTACATTCGACCAAGCCTAACTGGTCGACTAGTCCAATTGGTACCAAGCTTAACTGGAGATTGGGGGGATTGATACCAATCCTTCCAACTCCCAGGGATCAGTCTAATCCGTCGGATTAGACTGGTGCAAGCCTAGGTCAGTTTGCTGCTTATTTTGAAAGACATAGATAATAGACTTACAAAAAAGCACACTTTGCAAGATTTTCCCATTAACATATAAACTCGAATATTATCTGTGCGAAATCGATAGTTTATAAAAAGAAGTCAGATTTTTTTGTACAAAAATGTATACAATCATCAAAACAAGTGCAGATTAATTCATGCATAAGTGTAAAAATCTCTAAAACTTTTCCTCGTAAAATCGAAATTTATATTGCTGACAATATTGTTTAATGCCAGCTGCCATTGTTGCTGGTCCACAAAAGAACACGTTTACATCATTTTTATTGCTCGATTGTCTTTTTAATTTCTTAAAGATATCATCCCATTTTGGTCGTCCAGTATATGTTTGAACTTTCAAATTTGTGAATATATCTTGATCACACATATCTTGATAGACTCTAGTCACTAGATCAAAGGGAGCACTACCAATATTTCCTTCATTTCGTAGAGCAGTAAAATAGAGATGCATATCGAGAAAACGATTTGGAGCCGGTTCATCTGGATTGTGTACAAGATACGATTCTTGTTCTAGTTCAAAACTGCGTAATAAACTTAAAAACCATTCAAAATTTTTAATATCACGATTAACCCAGATGAAATCAACTTTTTTTAATCGATGAGCTTGTATTCTATCCATGTTATAATTAATGTGCGAACATTTTTTACATTCAAATCGGCTAGCACGAAATTGAGCCATTAAACTTGATAATATACTCGCATAGGGTGTTATGCCTACAGAAAATAAAACAATCATCAAAATTGACGTTTCACGACGAATCCCTCCTCGAATGTATAGGTCTTTATGGGAAACTAACGGTCTGAGAGATTTCCCCAAGTGACCTATTTCGGTTCCATCTGAGAAACTTATGCGGACTTTATATTTGTTTTTGATTTTCTTCAAAGAGCATTTCTCGCCCAGTAAGATACATTTTTCTCAAGACTGACTCAGCGTAATCTGATGACCTTTTTTCTTTATTTCATAACTAAAACAGAAATGCACAAAGTGACAGACAATTTTTTTAAGTTTCGTTTTCGCTACTGAGAAAAATACATTTTACTAGCGAGAGAAGGGACACTTTTCTGAATTTTCAACTTAAAATGTGTGCCAAAACGAATAGAGACAACAGTCAACAAAAGCATCTGCTAGATCTATGTGTGTAGTTTCAGTTAAAACAAATCCTAGCTCCATAGCTACTGTCCATCCTGAGAAAAATGTTTCACAAACAGCCCTATTTTTCACCTTGCGAAACCTATAACTCGACAACAACTGAACATCTGGAGTTGCAATTTTTTACAGTCTCTCATCTATCAAAATTGCGTGCAGATTGATTATACGGTGTAGAATTATTTTCTGAGAGGAACTTCCATTTAAAAATGAGACTTTATAAGCAAGATTAAGAAAGGTCATAATTCTGAGGTTATTTTACCAGGCCTACTCACCAATTCCCGCTCCTATAAGCACAACGTGTTTACAATCAAAAATGTATCGTGCGCACGACGAATATGGGCCGTTAATAAATATTAATTCTTGTCTTGATGTTGCCTGTGATTCCTCTGTTGCCTCTGTTTCTGTTGTTTTCTCTGAATCTACTGATTGACGTTTTTCAGTAGTTAATTGTGGGGAGTCTAATTGAATGGATACTGAATCAACAGTAGTATCATTTAATGGATCTTCTTCTTGTATTGTAAGCCCGAATGGCACCGGTTGGACATCAGCGCGATGAACTGGTACATGGACATCATGATCTGTTTGGCTCATCTCCTTATAACGATTATAAACTTGTTTGGTCCAATTTCCCACTGCTGATATGTGTACTTGTATAATGTTACCTTCTTCTGGTGCACTACTGATGGTGAATGGATGCCATTCGTAATAAGCAACTTTTGGAATGTTAATTAGAACATAATCACCTACCAAAAAATACAGAACATGATGCTATCCAATCATATAAGAAAATTGTTCATATTCATAGAAATCCATAGAGAAGAAAACATAGAAAATGTTTTGATTTAAACTCTTTTGAAACAAAACAGAAAATATTTTATTTCTTACGAAACATTCTTTTTGACTTCGCGGTAGGCACGCTCCTTGGCTTTTAGATCCAATGTACAGTCAAAGTACAAATATTTTTTTGTCAACAATATTACCTGGTCTAAAATCAAAGCTTTTTGGTCGATGAATATTTAATGATACAACATTTGAATGTTCAATAGTAACAGATTTCAATGATGTTCGTCCACGTGCCGCTGAAAAACGAGCTATTAGTGAATAAACTTTTTCAAATAAAAATACCGTCAATGGTGCAATAATCCATTTCCAAAAATTTTCAGCGTGAAGAATGAGTAGAATGAAAAATGGTGCATAGAGGAGATGTGTCCAGTAAAACACCTGAAAATGACCACCACGTCGAACATATGACATTGAACATATGACGATCACGGCTAATATAACACAAAGCAGTACGCCCGACAATGGAGCAAAACCATGTACCCAACCAGACTTAGCAGCCAGTGTAAATATATACTTTGGCCATGACATTTTGCCTAAATGCAAAAGAAACAGTCTCATTTTTCTCCCATTCACCTAATGAATCTCTGATTGAACTTACCTTCTACTCCAAAATTGATAAAATGTGCAATTGTATGTACAATTGACAAAACACCTATTATTCGTCCAACGGTTTGATGATAATCGATATGATCATCAACCGGAATTAGTTTTCTTAAAAATTCATTTGCTCTTATTAATCGAATTGTTTGTTTTAGCATGAGTAGAAGAATAAGTGCACAATTAAAATTTAATAGCATTCCACAAATTCTTGCAATCACTACAAGCCAACGCTTCCGGTCAATGATATAATATGTCATTGTGTAAATGAATAGAGCCACACTAATTATAAGATAGAATAAAACGACCAGAACACGAGCTAAATTATCTTTAATGTACTCCTTGCTGAATCTAGATTGCTTATTTTCATATATCGTTCGTTGCCAACATAGTCTTGCAAACAGACGGGACCAGAATGCTTCTAAACGATAGAAAAACGTCGAAGAGTATTTTTTAAATTAGATTAGAGGCACAGTCAGGATTTTTAGATTTTTGAAGCATCTCCCAGAGAACTACATAAGTAAGCCAAACAGCGCCTTTTTGGATCTCAAAATTTTCTGTTCAATGATCATTCATCGGTTCTTTGCCGAAAAAAACATGGTAACGAAGCGGAAGTTCTGCAAAAATCAAAAAAAAGGCTATGTTGTTTGAATTCAATGAAATTTTTAAGGTGTTTTGTTTGACTCAAACACTTTTGGTTGAGTCGTTTATTGAGACATATGAGCGGCCCAATGTTTGAGCGTTCCTCGAATAATACCTTGACTTGCAAGACTCGAATTCGCATTTTATTCGCGTCGTCCCGGGTATCTCGCTCATCGGGAAGGGGAGACGGCAGGTGGATAGTAAGAATAAGTAAAAAAGCTAAACATCTAATAGATAAAAATTGATACTGACTGACACCCACAAGGAGTGTCAATAAGGTGATAATCCGATATTTTAGTAACTCAATTTGCAGAGATCTCTTATACAGTCTATGGCAATGTTAAACTTCTTTGAACTCAACTGCTTGCTACAGCTGTGACTGGATTGTATGCTCAACATAACACTGCATACTGAAAATTGTCCTCTTATTATAAGTTTTTGTTACGCCAATTTTTATGTATTAGATTTTCAGCTTTTTCATCCACGCTCAGTGTCCATCTGCCCTCCTCGATGAGCGAGATGCCCATAAAAATGCAAATATACAATCAGAATCTTGCGAGTTAAAGTATAGTCCGAGGAACGCTCAAGCGTCGGGCCGCTCATATGTCAGATGACGTCCTTGTTGCCGCTTCCAGCGAACCTTTTTGCGTGGGAGTGTCAATAGCTTCTTGTTGACAATTCCAAACAGTTACTGAGAGTACCGAAGCTTCTAGTTTACTCTCCCTCGGAGTGCGAAGAGCCATTCCGAACACTTTTATAAGGTGACAATTTTTCGCTATTTCTTACAATAATCTGATCTGACAACCAAAGGCGTAAACAAATTTTTCTACTGCACACATGGTCTAAAGTGTCATCTCCCGTACTTGCACCATAGATAAGTTTAATTAGATTTCAATATCTACTGCAATTTTATTTCATATATCCTGGTTTTCTAACCGAAACGCTCGGTATCTTTTTTTTAAGATCTAATAAAAGTGTTAACGTAGGTTAGTAAACTCTTTCTAAAAAAAAGTAAGTGAAACTGTGGAATTGCACATCATGCTAATCATCATTATACCTTCGAAGACATATTTTTCTGGTAACAACTCCCAAGATAAAGTTTGTCAAGTTGCAAGTTAGACAAACAGGGTTTTTCCAGTAGTTTTTGATGCTGATTACGAATCTGATATTCTTTTCTGTTTTTCTGGTCTCGTCCACTAGAAATTGGACTTTTGTAGGTCCATTCTTCATTCTCGAACGAAGAAATACGAATATGATTAATTTGTAGAACATGTCGAATGACGTATATTAACAGATTCTCAGGCCAAAAGATAAACTCTTGGAGACGCTAGTATAATGGAAATTCTCTTATTATCGAAATTTGGTGTAAGAATAGACAATTGTTACACGATTTATATTATTGATTTTTTGGTTCAAGAATCTGATACCAAATGTCACTCGATATGTTTTACAATCTGATCCTATTCAAAGTTTTTCATTCTAGAATGAAAGACGATTTATAAAGGCCCAGTTTCTACAGTAGAGATGTGCAATCCGACCCGTGCCCGTACCCGACCCGACCCGACCCGAAGGTTGGGTTCGGGTACGAAGTGCTCGGGTACGGGTGGAGCAGTTACGGGTACGGTTTCTATTTTTTTTTAATTTACCCAAAAACCGGAAGGTTTTAGTGGAAAACTCACAAAATTTTAGTGAAAAAATACAGGAGTTTAGCTAAAGTACATGAAGGTTTAAAAAGAATTACTTGAGAACGTAATAATAACTTGACATCTTCCACAGAAAAACAAAGGTTTTTACCTGGAAAACCAAAAGGAGAAGATTTTTAGGCATAAATCGGGTACGGGTACAAAGTTGACGGATCGGGTCGGATATGGGTACGAAAATGGTACTCGTGCACATATCTATTCTAGAGGACGAAATCATAGAACTTCGTGAACAACATCAAAAATGACGGAGTTTTCTTGTTTCTCAGAAGGTCAGTAAAAGTTCAGCACGAGGAATTCTCAGCGCGGAATATTCAGCACTAGAAAGTTAAGCACAAGAATGATTAACATGATGTGTGATCAACGAAAAAATATTGAGCACCAAGAAAAAGTAGCATAAATATTGAATCAATCGAATAAGTAGTAATCGTGTATGTAAATTTAACAAACATTAAAATTCAATCATGAATAATAATCATCGGTGTAAACTTCTTCGAATTAGTAATCTTTAATGAGCAGAAATTAATTTATTACTCAATAGTATAAATATATGACGGGACTACTTTGTATCGTTGCTCCTAGACATGTCTAATTCAGCAATCGCTCGTTAACCGTTCTGTGATAATATAAAACGACGAATAAGAATGTTGCGTCATAATTACTACTTATTCAATAGATTCAATATTTACACTGATTTTTCTTGGTGCTCAACATTCCTGTGTTCAGTTTTCCAGTGCCAAAGTTTCTGTGCTAAAAATTCCGACTTCCTTTCCCAGAATATCAACATTGAAGAGCATAAATATTAACTGAGCTTTTCGTGCCGAAGATTCTGCATCGGTTTTAATACAAACCTTTCTTGGGTTGCCCATCTGTGTTTGTGGATAGATACCATAAAGGTTGTACAGTAAATTTACTAAGTGATTCTACTAAATTTGGATCTTCGGAAATAATCGTATGGAACTCTTCAAAATTAATTTTTGCATTAGGCTTAGATATACCAAGTTTTCTTTGTAGAGTCTTAATTACTTCATCTCGTTTTTCTACTGACAATGATTTAATTTCTGATAAATACTGTTCATAGAACTTTTGCAATTCGCGACCACTTATGAATTTATCGTCATTACTGTCTAACATAATGAAAAAGACGAGCGTTCGAGTATCAAAGGTGCTGTTGAGTACGCGTGTAATTTTTTGTAGATCATCTATGCTTAATGTAGTAACAGCTCGATACTTCATGGCAAATAAAAGACGTTCAACAATAAATGGACATGTATTAAGCAGTTCTGCCACACGTTTGATTGTATATTCGACGGTCGGTATTGTTGAGTGACGACGGTGAAAATTTTCAGGATCATTAAGAATGCCATTTAACTGAATTTCAGCTGTTCGACGACTCGAGATGGCAACCGAATATCGACTATAACATACAAATACAATATAGTAGTATCTTTTAGGGCCTGATTCGAATGATATATATGATTTTTGTGCTCGTAAGTTATATTTAACAAATAATTCTTGCTGACATTCGTTATACTCGTTTCAAATACACGATCATGATACGCAAATCAAAAAAACTCGTTTAAAATAAAAACTTGTTCGAAATATATAATTATTCTAGAAATTAAGATTACTTAACGAGAATCCTAACTGATGAATAAACTAGAAAAGAAAGATGTTAATAATTACTTACATGCACTTAACATCTTAGTTTAATGTTAAGTGCATGTAAGGAATTACTAGCATTTTTCTTTTCTAATATAATTATTTCTTTCATGAAAATATAGCAGAAACAAAAGACCATGGTCCTCTATTTCGGCTTGCAACTCACAAGTCTTAGACTGGTCTTCTAATATGGAACAGTCTTTTATTAAAGGATAGTCTTCTACAACGGATGGGGGCCTAGAGTAAAAAATACTTTTGAGGTAATGTTATACGTTGTCTCAGGAACGGAGATACGTGTTCTTCAAAATATCGAATTTAGGGGTATTTCTTTTTCCTTGTTTATGATAAGGACGCAACTAACGCCAAATATGTGTGTGAATAGTTCAAACATTGTTCTATTCAACACCATATGTACTAGGATTAGGCGTGGCTTAGAGAGAAAAGCCGAAAACAACGAATATCATAGCAAAATCATTGATTGGGATGATATCAGAAAAATTAACGGGGGGAGGGGCGGCATTTAGATTTTCGCCCAACGTTCCCAGTTTGTAGAGGATACTTCAGAGTATATGTCCTGAAATTTTCTCGGCTTACTAACATTATTTGGCTAAGAAAAAAATTAATTACTTTAAAAAATATTGGTAAGTTTTTCAACAAGGGACTATTATTAAAAGAATTCCTGTCCATTCTCCATTCATCATAAAGACTTGGTTCTTATCTAGATCGATAGAAAAATGTGTGGAGAATATTTACTACGAGAAAATATGTAAAAAGTTTTGTTCTTCCTTCCTGTTATTGACTAATTAGCGCTAATTAAGGTTAATTTAGCCTACTCTACTAGCTTACAGTCCCATTTGTAGAATAAGGACTCAACAAAAGAATTTCAGCTATACCACACCTGACAGAGAATTTCACGAGCTACAAGGCTGGCTAGATTAAGAGTTTTAGAATCCAATTCATTCTTCAAATTTTTTTTATAACAGTCCCATGCTCAAAAATTTAACAATATTTTGTCAAATAATTAATTTTTT